AGGGTGTTTGAGGATAGGCTCAGAAGCAAAGGCGACTTTCAATGCCTCGAAAGCTGCCTGCTCCTCAGCACCCCAATGGAACTTCTCCCCCTTCTTGAGCAGATTAGAAAGGGGAGCAGTCAAGGCAGGAAAGCAGGGAATAAATGTGCGGTAGTAGTTCGCAAATCCCAACAGTCACTGCACATCCTTAACCCGCTGTGGAGGTTCCCACTCCTGCAACGATTTAATTTTTTCCGGGTCCATTTCCACCCCAGCAGGTGAAATACAATGTCCCAAGAAGTCAATCGTGGTTTGTGCAAACTGACACTTCTCACGTTTAGCAAACAGGTGGTTATCACGCAAACGTTGCAACACTAGCCGCACATGCTGCCAATGTTCCTGCAGGAAGTAAATCAAAATGTCATCTAAATAAATGACCACAAATTGATCCAACAAATCACGGAAAACATCGTGCATGAAATGCATGAACACAGCTGTGGCATTGGTTAATCCAAAAGGAATCACGGTATACTCAAAATGCCCGTACCTCATCCGGAAAGCTGTTTTCCACTCATCCCCTGCACAAATGCGAACCAGATTGTAGGCCCCACACAAATCCAACTTCATAAAGATCTTAGCTTGACGAAGCCACTCAATCAGTTCAGGGATGAGGGGAAGTGGGTACCGATTCCTCACTGTGATTGCATTCAACTTGCGGTAATCACAACACAAATGTAGCTCCCCAGATTTCTTTTTCACAAAAACCACCGGTGCAGCCAATGGGAAGGTCGAAGGCCAGATAAACCCTTTCCGGAGGTTCTTGTCAATAAAATCCCGCAATGTGGCCAACTCCGGTTCCGACAGAGAATATATCCGACCCACCGGCAATTTTGCATTGGGCAACAAGTCAATTGGACAGTCATATGCCTGATGCGGAGGCAACTGATCCGCCTCCTTCTCCCCAAACACATCAGCAAAGTCCACCAACTCCGCAGGTAGATCCAGGTCCACGGGTGTAGCCACACTCCCTGCACAGGAGCGCAAGCAATGGTCTGCACAGGAGTGCAAGCAATGGTTGGCACACTTCCTATCAAGGAACTGCACAGCTACAGACGACCAGACAATCTGTGGATCATGGGGCTGTAACCACTCCAAACCCAGCACCACCGGAAAATGGGGCACTGCAGCAACGTAAAACACAGTTTCCTCCACATGCTGCCCAATACACATGCAAAGGGGTCCCGAACGAAGGGGCTGACCATCAATCATCTCCACCATTACTGGTGGGGATACCTGTTGCTGAGGAATGAACCGCTGCTTGACAAAATGAGCATCCATGAAATTGGCTGTGGCCCCTGAGTCAACCAAAGCAGGGATCTCCACTGCTCCCGCACCAGGCACGAACATACTTGCTGGCAGCACAAGATGCTTCACCAATAGCGACTGTGGTGGAGATGTCGAAGATGTCAACGGTGGCGAGGGTGGCAAGATTGGTGAAGATGGTGGGCCTGTGGATTTTACACCCCGACCTGCAAACCCCCGTAGGCCGAGCGATGCTCGTTTCCCGCCACTGCAGGTGTCGCTGCTGTGGATGTCTTAACAGGACACTTGACCGCAAAATGGCCTCGATTGCCACAATAGAGGCATAAACCATCACAATGACATCTATTCTTTCCTACTTGAGTCAGGCGAGGGCAGCCAACCCCCAACTGCATGGATTCCTCCAAAGGCACTTCCACCAAGGGCGACGTCTTGCTGGAAACAGATACGGTCTCTGTCCATCGTTGCACCCATTGCTGCTGAAGTCTAGCATCGATACGAAGACACAAATGCATGAGCTCCTGAAGGGTGCAAGGGCATTCAGTGCACGCCAACTCATCCAGGAGCTCCGATGACAAACCTTCCTGGAACTGGTCTAATAGTGCTGCCTCATTCCATTATACATCTGAGCAACCACCTGAAAACTAGCAATATAATCCATGAGTGAGCCACGCCCCTGCTTCAACTCTCTCAAATGTCTGTTTGCTGTTTGGCTTCGAACAGGGTCCTCAAACATGGCCTGAAACTGACGGCAAAACTCGGCGTAATTGTCCAACACCTGGTTGGGCTGGGTCAGCAGAGGCGTCGCCCAACGTGCTGCAGAGCCTGACAACAAACTAATCAAAAACCCCACCTTATCCCAGTCAGTGGGAAAGTCCTCAGGCCGAAGGCTCATGTAAAGCTGGCACTGCCCCAAAAATGCTGGAAATTGGGCCAGCGAACCATCAAATTTATCTGGCACTGCCACTGGGCATTTTCGGCGTGGCCGGGCAGCTTGCATTTGTGCCACCTGTGCAGTCAAAAGAGCCACTTGCTGGGTTAACTGGGCAATCTCTGCTCTGAGCTGATCCATGGTCACCCCACAAAAAGCAAAAATAAGTTGAAGGGGTGGCTGAAGTCAAAATGTGATGACCCGTAGTCTCTCAAAATAACCCAAAACCCAAAACATATATTAAAGTCCGGTAAAGCCTTCAACTTAACTTCACTGTTTTATTAGGCACAGTTTAAAGTCACAAAAGTAAATAATGAGGCAAACAAAAAAAACCGCATTGATGAGAGTTCTGAAGCAAGCCAAGATAACTAATTATGAACTCCAGGAAAATAACCGAGAAAAGTCCATGGGAAGAATGCCAGCAAAGATAAACCTCTTTCAAGGTAAACACTAATTGACTTCAGCAAATTCTAACTGCGCAGTTGCAAGCTTATATACATAGCTCCCACCTGCAAGCCACGAGGAGGATCATGGTAATCTCCTCTTGAGTAGACCTCGCTTTTCCCTGATCCTCTCCTCCCTGCGTGACCTAGGATGGATAGAGGATGGGCCTGGATCCTCCTCTGACTGCTGAGCCAGCCTCTGCCTTTCCCGAGCCTCCTTCACCACCTCTGGAGCCACACTCCCACTCCCTGTTGGCTGCTCCTCCTCTACCTCAGAGTCAGACTCCACCAGGGGCATGACACTGGCCTTCTAAAGAGCAGTCAGGGTTGATCTCCTCTAGGAATGACCGGTTTGATTGCTTTGCAATCCAAGGGACTCGCAGGAATCTTCTCCAGCACCAAAGTTCAAAGGCTTCGATTCTTTGGCGCTCAGCCGTTCTTATGGTCCAACTTTCACAGCCATACATTGCAACTGGGAAAACCACAACCTTGACTATATGCACTTGTGTTGGCAGGGTGATGTCTCTGCTTTTGAGTATGCTGTCTAGATCTGCCATAGCTTTCCTCCCCAGGAGCAAGCGTCTTTTAATAACCTGCATAAAATTAAGAAAATACAGGTGTCATTAAAGTAACATTTTTTTAAAAAAATTAGAATATTCATGACTAATACAGGTTTGTCATGCATTACAGGGAGTCCTCAGCTTACAACCATTTGTTTAGTGACCATTCAAAGTTATAATGGCACTGGAAAAAATAATTATAACCGTTGCAACATCCCCATGAGATGATCAAAATTCGATGTTTGGCAACTGGCTTGTATTTACAACAGTGGCAGCATCTGTGGGTCATGTGACAGCCATTTGTGAGCTTCCAACAGCAAAGTCAACAACAGCTCTTAACAACTGCAGTGATTCACTTAACCATAACAAAAAACGTTTATAAAACTGGGTGCGATTCACTTAACAACTGGCTAGTTAGCAATGGAAATTCTTGTCCCCATTGTGGCTATACACTCTGTATTTTGAACTATGTGAATATCTGTTCTGAATCAAACCTGGTTCCCAGAGAGCAAACACGAGACAAATGTACCTTTTAATGTTTCATTTATGAATCCTGTTTCTTCACAGATAACAGGCTGCTTCCACTAATAAGGAAGACCCTTGCCAAGTTTTTGCAAGGCTGACCAGAACAACAGATAAAGTTCCTAAACAGTAAATCAAAGAGCCTCCAAACACCAACTCCACCAGGCTCAAGTATCAAATTTCTTCACCTTCTGCAAAGAATTGCAGTTTCTCAGCTGGCTTTTATCTTCCCAGGGAAGGACCTTCCCGCCTTACTCCCGAGTTGCCCATGCAGCTTCTCTTTCCTGGGCACAGGCTCCTCGGGGGCCTCTTCATCACTGCTGCCGGCCCCCACAGTCTCCAAAGGCAGCATTCCACTCCCTGATAGTCCTGGCCCCATCCCTGCATCACACGCAGGCCCCTCATCCGAGTCCTCGCTCTCCCAGACCTCAGCCGTCTGCACCTGCTTCCGGCGAACCACAACAATATTCTTTGAATATTATTATTTTAAATTATTTATTTTAATACAGTATGCTCCTTGTAACTATTCACTCTTCCTGAGGATTGCAGGGAGGAATAGCATCCTACGCTAGCGGCTATGTTTGGCAGCATTTTCTCTCCCTTCCCAAGCTAATATCATCTTCCTTTTAATTCCATCCTCACAAGATTTGCCAAAGTTTATTTCTCAGGTCAAAGATGCATGCATTGGTTTGCTATAAATTGTTATGCCTAAGAGTAAATAGAAAGCTCTAATCAAAAGTTCAGGTAGAAGCGCTGACACCATAAACTTTTGCTCAACAACAGGAAAAGGACATGGTGACTTTTCTTCTGGTGCTATCAAATTAATGCCTGGGTATATTTACAATGGATTAGAACTGTATTTTGGGCTATTTCTCTATTTGGCTTTAGTTATAATGCGAATGCTGCCTCTGGCAGACTGCAGTGTCCTCATTATTGGTTATTCCAAATTTAGTAATTGCTGGGAACTTTGTGCCCCAGTATCATCAAAGATACTGTCTCCGTGGCAATGAAATAAAGCCTCGGGATTCACCAAAGCACCTGACCAGGTGCAAAGACCTCACAGCAGCAGAAGGTAGATTGATTCTCTCTGCTCCAACAGAAGAAACTTTATTTTTATGTCTTTCCTTCCCCCCTTAATAAATGCAATTGAATCTGTGTTTTTTTACACTTGGTTTTATGCAACCATCCATGTCTTGTCATTACTAATTTCATTTTTTTAACTTCTCTCATTATTTCATTTTGCAGATTTACCGGTATTCATATACTGCTTTTTATGTCCTCAGAAAACTGCCTAATGGGTAAGTAATAGAATGAAGACTCCTCATTCCATGGGTGGCTGTTTGGCTTATATGGGATAATTGGGGAGGAAAGAGGGAACACTAGATATTGAGCACCCAGCAACTATTCCCAAACTATTCCCAAACTTAAGCAGAACTTATAATGAAACCATGAAGTTTCCCTTGAAATAGGGACAGAAAAAGTCAAGATGTTAGTTAGGATGCATTCCAGGGTCTTCAATTGTGTAACCATGGCCACCATTTTGATATCTTCTATAGAAATACAATTGCCTTCCCCAAAAAAGTTCCATTAGAGTTTAATAAGTAATGGATCATTATATAAATAATAACAAAGCATTCTGCTTCATTGGCCTTTGTTGTCACACATTCCATTTATAAATTAAGTCTTTCATTCATAAAGGAAAAGCAAGGGTTTTGCTTAGCTTATGTTATATGAATTCAGCCAGCATGGTTTGTGAACCACAAATAATGTCTTAGTATGCTTTGCAAACCCAACCAATCATGGCTTTTTCCGAAACCCGTGTTTAAACAAACTTAACTTAGGTTGATGCAAAAACCTAACTATTAAGTTAAGATGCAAAAGAGTCCACATTTGTCTCAGCGGGTATCTATGATTCAGTGTGGTCTCTAAGATTGTTGTGATAAACTTGGTGTCAGACCAGGCCTGATCTGTTTATGTGCAAACAAAGGGAAAGGAATGGCTTTTCATATAGGAAGTCAAATGGCTATTAAGAAGCTAATTCAATACAGATTCTATACCACAGTATTATTTTCCCCAGAATCAATCCAGAACAGATGACATTCTTTGGGGGAAATGGGTGACCCAGAGAATGCTTACTGGCCTAGATCATAGTGGGTGGACAGAAGCCCATGGAAACATGAGGTGCTGCAGAGCCCAGATCCTAAGGAATAAGGGTGCTGTAGTAGAGCCCAAATCCTAAGAAATAGGGCCCGGATTTTAAAACCCTAAGGGTTTTTAAAATGACAACCAATATTGTGATGGAATGAAGAGTAGAAGGGGATTCCCAGGACAGGAGAAGTCCATTCCAGAGGAGTACGAAACAATTCAGACCGAATATTATGTGTGAGAGAAAGAAGGGGAAGACAAACGCAACCTAATAGTTCACAGAGTACTTTGTAGAAGCAGACAGTAGAGTCTGTAGTTTGGCAAGATTCTGTCTATAGGTGTAAAACGATCATGAACTGAACTTGGACGAACTGCCACATTCCATTCTTGAGTTCTGACAAGCACTTTGACTGACATCCAGGAGATAATGGGCTCCACAAATAGAAATATTATGCAGGGATACTTAGTTATTCGTGTCACTATTCAGGACGGTAAATTCTGGACAACTTGAAGCATCCAAATGGTTTTTACAGTACTCCAAATAAGAGAAGACTCGCTACAGCATAGTCTTTGGAGTGGGTTTAAAAGGATACACTGTTTATTTCTGTGATGATACCATGATGCAAGTGACATGATTTTTGGCATACCCAAGATGCCCATGTCATTTTCAGGAAGATGGTCATCTTCTCAGGTCATCCCTGTCTTTGAAACAGCTTCCTCTCACCCCAAGATTATTCCCCCTCCCCAAAACTATTCCCCACTCCACCCCACGCTGATTTTTCAGAAAGCTGTTACAATTTGGCCATTCCTTTGGGAGTAGAACTACTCTGAGCAAGATTACACATGTCTATGCCCCCCCCACACACACACACACAATTATAGGTATGTTTGACTTTTTCTTTTAGGATGCGGTTCTTGGCTAAAATAAAAGCTTAAAATATACCTCTTCCAGAGTAAAATACATACAAGCACCTATGGCTCAACAGCCTCTTTTCAAATATGTGTTTCAGTTAAATTTAAAATATTGCAAACTGTTGCAGAAGTGGTGCAGAACATGCCATGCAAAGACATCCAGCTAAATGGTCTGACCCATCCATTAAGTGACTGTGGTTGAGAAGTCATTTCTCATTTTCTAGAATTGGATTGGCTTAGGTTATTTTATTAAAACTCAGTTGATTGTTGTCAGTGACCAGACTTGACGAGGAAAACCACTTCATAGGTATTGTTACTAAATCAAATGTTTGGTTTTTAATAATTCCCACTTTAGCATTATTCTTAGCAGCTATGTTACCGCCTGTAACGTTTTGCAATCTTAGGCCTTTGGAGGATCCACTGCACAATCATTATCCAGAACACCTTTTATTATTCTTATTTTTGCAACAAGGCCATCTCTTGAATGCCTCTGTTTTCATCAGCAGATGTTCAAATTAGAGGCTTATTGCCAGAACTGGAAATAAAACCTCTGAGCTTTCTGGAGTATGTCTCCATTCCCTTTTCTATCCTTTTCCTAAATCTGGGAGTGAAATTCAGGTTAAGCCAGAGCGCCACCTAGTGGTCTTTCTGAGATCCTCCTTTTCTTACAGAGTGAGCCATACAAATCAAATTAAAATTCTAGTGATGAGCTGCCCTGTTTTGATCAATGGGAAACCCTATTTTTCAAGCAGAAGAGGAATTGAATAAAACCCTGCATGGATCTGTTGGTGTCCATGATTCTTGGTGACCTGTGGCCATGATTTCTCATGGATTTTCTTCCAAGTGATTGCTTTTTTTGAGTTCTTGAATGCTCATCCTTAATGCCCTCAAAAATACTATGCATTCACCTTGTCTTCTATTAACCTCTTTTTCATTGGTCTCCAAAATCAGGATTTTTTTTTCTAATGGCTCTTGTCTTCTCATAATGGGTACAAAATATTTAAGCTTTGGCTTCCTTATCAGTGCTCCTATTGCACAGTTGGGTTTTAACCCAAAGGTGCTTTTTTTTTTCAAGAGGCAACTTGAATTTCTGATTTTTCTTTGAAGACGTCTGGAGACCTGAAGAAGCTTCTTGGATGAGAAGCGAAACATCTTCAAAGAAAAACCAGAAAGTCCAGCTGCCTCTTGAAAAAAAAAAAGCACCTTTGGATCCACCATGACCTGGAGGACAGAGAATCTCCACAGACACTTAGTTGGGTTTTAAGTCATCTCATAGCAGATGATCCATTCTAGTTTTCTCTAGCACCACAATTCATAATTATATTTAAGCAGACCTGTGGGCAAGGTTTGCTTCCTTGTATTGCCGTATGTAGAACCGTGCCTCATAAAAGTAATGTTAATGAACTATTGATGTCCTGTTATTTATAAACCCCAAATGATAAACAAAGTAAATCTAATTTACCTATGCAGGAATAAGCTGCCATAAAAGTAATCCTGGTATAAACTGGCACAACACTAATGCATTGAAACAGCTTAAAAGAGAGAGTACAACCAAGGGCGGATAATTAGCCATTAAATTCTGCAAAAAACAAAAGGATTTTCAATATTTTTGCAAAACCCCATCTCATCTGGACAGTTTTCCCAGGACTGTGACTTTAAGATAGGTTACCTTGTCACTGGACTTGTATGTTAAATCCTAACAAATGACATTAGGAGATGTTTCCAACAACCTGAAGCAAGATGACCAGTCTCCAGTTAATGTAATGCTTTAAAGCTGTGGCAAAAACAGAATAAATTGATCAGTCATCTGAAATTGAGGAGATGTTATAGGGGCAAGAAGTTCAAGAGGAGAATCTTTTATGCTTGCTCACTTTCCGTTGGAAGGACATCAAGGGAGTTTGGGTTTATTTACATTTACAATGTAATCTTCAACTTACAACCAAGCATTAGCAACCATTCAAAGTTATGGCCTACCTGCAAAAGGGAGTTAAGACCAGGAAGTTTCACTGGTTGCTTCCTCCTGCGGTTACGTGATAGGCATCAGCCACACAAGTGCATTTATGGAGACTTGCAACATTCCATGGTCATGTGAACAATGGTTTTGCCGAAAAACTGTGCCACCGCAAACAATGTGTTTGCTTAACGGCCACAGCATTTGTCTAATCACCGCTATGTTCACCTATGCTGCAAAAAAGGTCATAAAATCAAGGTGGTCACATGACTAACCCGATTTACAACCACATATGATCATAATGGGTGGGCTCCATTAGGGTGATATGTTGAGGATTACTTGAATACATTATTCCATATTTACAGAGAAATTCCATTCAAACAGTAATGCCCAGTGGCAGTCAGAACTCTGGTCAATGTCAGATTTCCTGAGAGTCCTTGATACATACTTGTTTTCTTGTTGTCTTCCCAAATTCACTCCATTTTCCCCCCTCTTTTGTCTGCAACACACAGCAGGCTATTCATCTGGTTTATACTTAGTTGCCTGCCAAACTTAGAAGGAGACCAAAGATGAATTGTCTTCTTTGATCTTTTCCTAATTTAGAGTGTCATCTAACCTGCTGCTGCCCAAAAATATGGTGTCATTCTGTCCGTCTCATGGCTAGGAATTGAAAGCAACGGAAAGGCAAGCAAGCTGTTACTGGCTGGCAAGCAACCATCTAGACCATGTGTTTCTTGGAGGCACATTGTACATGGTGTGTCTAAGAAGGAAGTGCGGACCATTTTGCCAAGCTATTTATTTGCACGTGTCTTGGGCATCTCGTCTTGCTTCACTAACCTTTTTGACTGTTATTGCAGAAGATGTACATTCCCAAGGGTGGTTCCTTGATCAAGATGGTAGCCACAGTGATACACAGAAAGTGCCATTTTATGTGTATCAGGTGCAGTAAATGAAAGATTAGGCCTTCAATTGCATCATACTGTATCTTAAGCATTATTAGGTGTAAAATTATTAGTATGTAAAGCAATGGTGGGATTCAAATTTTTTTTACTACCGGTTCTGTGGGCGTGGCTTGGTGGGCATGGCAGGGGAAGGATACTGTAAAATCTCCAGTCAGAAGTGGTATTTGCCGGTTCTCCGAACTACTCAAAATTTCCGCTACCGGTTCTCCAGAACTGGCCAGAACCTGCTGAATACCACCTCTGGTGTAAAGATGCCTCAGAGACAGTCCAACACGTAGTGTCAGTTATAAAATGCAGGCAGGAACAGCAATCACTAAGCAACACAACCCAATAGCTAGTTTTGTATTCAGGAAAGTCTTCATAGTACATGAACTAGAGACCCCATCCCAAATGAAACAAGCAAAATGTTAAAAAGTTATATTTATGTAGTTACTTACCAAGCACATCCAAATTGAAGTAACCAAAATATATTTACAACTTTTGAGCACCCTTAATGTTTGGAAACTGAAAGCTGAAAAATTTGACACAACATCGTCTTTCAAGGTAGAAGACTTCATAGAAAGTCATGAAGAATAAGGGGACGAAGATCCTGTGAGACTTCCAGATCCCTGTAGAACAGACAAGTTCTGGCCATTAAACCTGACATCGTGATAGTAGACAAAGACCAGAAGACTGTGGTGGTGATAGATGTAGCAGTGCCAAGTGACAGCAACATCAAGAAGAAGGAAGATGAATGTCAGCGTTCCAGAAAACCTCCACTCCAACGAATAACTCAGAGACAGACATCCTCTCAAAAGTTATTTTTTATTTGAGTAGTAAACTGGCACACCTGGGAAATTCAGAATCTGAAAGTCCTGGGTTTCCTTGCAAATAAGTGAAAAATCACAAATCCACCCCCTGCACCCATCCTTGTATCACATGCCCCCATCACCATCCATCCCAAATGGAGACGTCCTCTCAACCAGGTGCAGAAATAGCATGACCTTAGCTTAGAAGAAGAATGCTATTGTGTCTAACCACATATACTCCAAGAACTTCCCCCCTCCCATTCTCCCAGGCTCAGGAATGTGGCAGTGTAGAAGTATCTGGTGCTAATATGGCTTCCAAAGCTGACAATGAGAAGGTGGAAGAGGAGCAGGACTTGTATGGGGAACTGGAAAGAGTGTGGAAACTCAAGACCAAAGTGGTCCCAATGATGGTAGGAACACTCATGGCTGTGACTCCTAAGCTGGAAGAGGGACTCCAACAGATCTCAGGAACATCAGAGGTCTCTTTCCAGACAGTACAGTGGAAGGAACAGCTGAAATCATGCGCAGAACCCTCAAACTCCCAGGGCTTCTGGTAGAGGAGGCAAGATCAGCAACAGAGTGGTCAATGTCTGGAATACTCTACCTGACTCTGTGGTTTCTTCCCCAAACCCCAAAAACTTTAACCTTAGACTCTCTACTATTCACCTCACCCCTTTCCTAAGAGGTCTGTAGGGGGCGTGCATAAGCGCACCAATATGCCTAACGTCCCTGTCCTATTGTTTCTTTTATTTTTTTATTTTTCTTATAAGTATCCATGTATTCATAACTATGTTTTTACTTATACCTATTATCTTGTAAGCAATTGACAAAAATAAAAATAAAAATAAATAAAAGATTGAGGAAGACACAAAAGCATGAGAAGGGAGTGTGTCTGTTCGTCTGTCTGTCGCTACCACTGCTTATTAGGAGTTGAATTTGGTGTAGACAAAAGATTTAAAATCTTGGTAAGGAGTTGTGATTTAGTAAAATGATACTGTCCAAAATGGAGGCTAGTGATGAGTCCCAGTACAGGATGAAACTGGACATATAGTGCCTCCTAGTGGTCAATAGTAAATAAAAGAATTTATTTAAAAGAAGATACACATTCCTATTGTCTGTGAGGTCTTGAGGCCCTTAGTACAACCCTGGACAAAATTAATAATTTTAAACTCACTAGTCTGAGAGTTCAAGGGGGGAATGGGGGAGGCATATCTCAGTTTATGGCAGGAGTCTCCAACCTTGCCAACTTTAAGACTTGTGGACTTCACTCCCAGAATTCCTCAGCCAGCTTTGTGTTGAAGTCCACAAGTCTTAAAGTTGGCAAGGTTGGAGACCGCTGATCTATGGCATCTAATTCCTTAGCATTTTTTGTTTGTTTATTTGTTTGGATCTGGCTTGATCAACAGTTTCTAAGCTGAAATTGTGGTTGAGTTTTTGCCTGAGTCAGAATATTAAACAAAACTGCTATTTTAAAAAAAAACAGCAAGATAGTTCAAGATAAGTATATTCAAGCATTTTTCTACGTGCCTCGAACCTGACATTTTATTTTTTAAAAACCAGTATTAATGAGGGATGAATGGCGAGAAAAAAAGCCATTCCAGGTCATTATTCAGGAGCCTCTTTTCCTTAATGAGCTGTGATACTCTGCCCAGAAAAGAAATAGAAACAGACCCCCAAAATAGATCAGAGCTCGTGATGCCAAATTAGTCATCCAGTTTCTGCATACAATTATGAAATAGCCCATCCAAATGTCACTTCACAATATAACCCAGAAATTCCTTTTTTTTTTTTCCCCTTGCGCTATTTATTTCTTATTTTCTTTCTGGATAGTAAAAATATTACTGTTAGTTTAGAGCGGTGCTGCTGAACCTCAACAGCTTTAAGTGGCTGGATTCCAACTCCCAGAATTCCCCAGCCAACATTGCAAAATTGAAGAAGGGGAGTGAGGGACATCCTCTCCCCTTCCCACCGCCTTTAAACCTGGATGACATCCCTTTTTTGCATTTGAAAGTGAGCTTAGAATAGATCGCTTTGATACAGACCAGATATGAACCCAGTGCAACAAAACGGAGAGAACTAGAGCCACAAAGGACAAGTACAGGGGGTCTTTGTTTTACAACCATTTTGTTTAGTGACTGTTCAAAGTTACTACAGCACTAGGGGTGGAAAATGACTTGTGACCCAATCTGGGTTGGTCACCAGACCAGTGGTTTTTTTTTTCTTCTGAGTTTCTGGACTCATACTGGAGCCCAGCTTCAGATAACTTTTCTCTAGCAGAGTGTGGGCTTTGGGTATGTCTAGTTTAATGAAAAGAAGGACCAGGGGAGACATGATAGCAGCCTTCCAATATCTCAGGGGCTGCCCCAAAGAAGAGGGAGTCAAGCTATTCTCCAAAGCCCCTGAGGGCAGGACAAGAAGAAATAGATGAAAACTAATCAAGGAGAGAAACAGCCTAGAACTAAGGAGAAATTTTCTGACAGTGAGAACAATTAATCAGTGGAACAACTTGCCTCCAGAAGTCGTGAATGCTCCAACACTGGAAGTTTTTAAGAAGAGATTAGATAACCATTTGGCTGAAGTGGTGTAGGGTTTCCTGCCTAGGCAGGGGGTTGGACTAGAAGACCTCCAAGGTCCCTTCCAACTCTGTTATACTATTTTATGTTCTGGGTGTGCTATTTATATGATACCTGCTGTATGTGGCCTTTTAGATGCTGATTGGGGTGTTGACGTTGGTTATTAAGTCATTGGCTGTTGTTTGCTTCGGCTGCCAAGCCCTCCCCTCCTAAGTACTTGATAAGTTGGTAGTAGATCAGCACTCCTGTTGACTGAGGAGGGACCCATTCCAGGGGTGGGATTCTACCAGTTCTGCCTACCTCTGTAGAACGAAGTTGCTCTGAAGAGCAGCAAACAGAAAGCATACAGAGAACCGATTCTATGTTTGCTGCTGTTTTGGCCCACCTGCCCACCCGGGCTCTTATCTGACCTTTATTTCCTGCGTTTTCAACCGCAGCTGCTTTGGCGTGAAATAGCTGCTGTTGAAAAAGCAGTAAAAAAAAGGGCTTTTCCAACCACTGTGCACTTGCACGCAGCACTGCTCAGCTGTCCGGGCAGCTCAGCAAGTCGTAAATTGCACTCACGCGACTTACACATGCGCGCATGCAACGCAGAGCGACAGAACCGGTAGTTATATTATAACCGGTAGCTCTCCAAGCTAGATAAGGTCCATGCTCCTAATGACACCCTTGAAAGACAGGGTTTGCCAGGCCTTTGGCTGAATGTGAATGCAAGAAATTCACCTTCATTTAATAAAAAGGGGTTTTGCCAGGACAAAGAGTCTGCTTAGTGCTTTCTGGGGAAGCCTAGGCCAGAACATTGTGGATGCTCCATCACTGGAGGAGTTTAAGAAGAGACTGGGACAGCCACTTGTCTAGAATGATATAAGGTCTCCTGCCTTCCATTAGAATAACTCCGTGGAAAACTCATTCTTATTCAGCTAAACTATGGATAATTATCTTCAGATCAGAAAAACCTAGAAGCATTCACAGCTGATGCCCTAACCCTGATTATGCATGCACAGATATGGCCATGTGACCACTGAGAGATTTTGATGTTGTAATTTCATAACTGAGTTGTAAGTACTTTTAGGGTGGGGGCATCCGATGTAACTTCAACTGGACATAAGTCGAGGACTACTTGTACTTTATCTGACATTCTATGAAGGTTTGTCATGTGGAAATGATCGAAATGTTTTGCCTGCCTTCAATAGAAAATCCATGTTTCACCAGCCTACAGAAGAATAGCATGGCTCTATATAGCCTCCAATTTTATAAAGAGTAAAGACTACAGTGGTGAACTTGAATTTGTCACAGTAGATCCCATTAAGGACAGTAGAGGTGCAGGATCTTATTAAAATCTCCCAATGTTTTATTTGTTTACAGGGAGCCTCAGAATCTCTACCCTCCCGAGGTTAGCAATGCAAAACTCCAATATGCGGGATGGGGACCCAAAGGCCAGCAGCTGGTAAGAAACTGTTCACTATGACTTTTTGTCTTCTTCGCTGCCACAAACATGAATAAAAGGGATGCCGTATATGGCCTCTTGGCTTACTTCACTGATTTAACCATGCAGCCCCGTGGCTGATAGCTCAGGACTTAATTCAGCTCTGATAGCGCTTGCCCAATAGTAAGACCAATTTGCTTCTTGGTGACCTGAAGATTCATATGCTCAAAGCCAGCACAGCAGAAGAGGTGAGGGCCATAATTGAGAGGTAGGACGTGGTGGCTCAGTGGCTAAGACGCTGCGCTTGTCAATCAGAAAGGTAAGCCGTGTGGCGGTTCAAATTGCTAGCACCGCATAATGGAGTGAGTTCCTGTTACTTGTCCCAGCTTCTGCCAACCTAGCAGTTCAAAAGCATGTAGAAAAGCAAGTAGAAAAATAGGGACCACTTTGGTGGGAAGGTAGCAGTGTTCTGTGCTCTTTCAGCATTTAGTCATGCCAGCCACATGACCACGGAGACATCTCTTTGGACAGCACTGGCTCTTCGGCTTTGTAACAGAGGTGAGCACTGCCCCCTAGAGCCAGAAACGACTAGCACATACGTGCGAGGGGAGCCTTTACCTTTATCAACAGATTCCTCCCCAGCAGTTTAATGTGGGTGTTAGAAAGAAGCGAAGAGAGAAGATGGCCCTGAACCACATTTCACAAAGTAGATAAAGAGATTTCAACTTGTCAGTTCAGGTCATTCAGCCACTGAACTCAGAGAACATCCTAACCAGGAGATATTTCCTGATGGGCTTTCTCAACCACGAGGAGTTGGGAATTTTGCACATTTTAATTTTGTTCTTCTTAGGAATGAATTCATCACTAATTCTGCATCCACTTCAAAGAAACCTTTATTTTGACCTTGGGAAACCACTCTGCCAACGCATAGCAAAATCCTAACTCTTAATCATTTATGCCAACCACAAAACCATGTGCCCTCCATATCTGTAATGCAATAAAGAATAATCAATGAACCAGGGTGTATCATTTCACAAGAAGAAAATTTAATTTACAGTGATGCCCTACATAAACATCAGCGATATTATTAGGTTACCGAATACAAGATAATCCGTCTTGCAAAAGTTTAAAGCACAGAGTACATATTAAAGGCCACTTTGGTTAATAAATTCTGGGAACAATATAACAAGGCAGTTAGCATGCAAAGATACAGGTACTCCTCAACGTAGAACCTATGTAATGATGGTGCATAGTTAGAAAGGCAACAGAAAAAGTTATTTGCAATCTGTCCTTGAAGTTATGACCATGATCTCATCCCAACTGATCACAAATCAGGCTTGGCAACCAGCTCACATATACAACTAGTTGCAGCAACCTGCAGTCACACGATTGCAATTTTCAACTTTCCTAGCTGGTTTCCAACAAGCAGTGTTAGAATTAAGGAAGCCGGATTTGCTTAAGGACATGATAAACGTGACTATAAAATCAGGTCCCAATTACATCCATAAGTTGTAACTAGTTTAGAAGCCCAGGAACAATATTCTACACAGCCATAGAAAATACTAAAGCAGAATAAAATATCTGAAGACATTAAAAAGTGTTTTCTACTTCTATAAACAGCTAAAATGTGCAGTAGAGTTTGTGTATAATGCAAATTATTTCAAGATTTGTTGCCAATTCCTGGTAAGTTGTGTGTGTGAGAGAGTTATGATAAATAAAATAATAAATATGCAGAGGAGAGATTGTAGGGCTAAAAATCACTGGGTCCTCAGAGAAGCAGCAATATAATGATAATTTTTAAGGTTCCAAATGAGCTATTTTTTAATTCAGCATTCAGTCCGAGGAAGATTTTTTTGCTGAAGATCAGACAGCTCCACAACATTATTTTTGCTCCAAACATTGTCAGTTTTTGGGGTACTAAAGATATTATATGCAGAAAACCCTTCTGGGTTTTAAAGATTAATATGAGCTGCTGTTCCAAAAATTAAAATAAAACCTATCTTAGTTTTCATAGAAGCTTTAGAACTTGTTCACCATTAGAAAGAGATTTTTTGTCGTTGTTAGTTGAGAAATCGTGTCTGACCCTTGGCGACCTCATTGACAACATTCCTCCAAGCCTTCCTGTCCTGTACCATCCCCTGGAGTCCATTTAAGCTGACGCTGACAGCTTCAGTGACTCCATCCACCACCTCCTTCTCTGCCGTCCCCTTCTTCTTTTGCCCTCAATTGTTCCCAGTATTAGGCTCTTCTCCAGTGAGTCCTTCCTTCTCATTAGGTGGCCAAAGTCTTTGAGTTTAGAAAGAGATAGACTACCTCAAACAGGTTTAAAGTTTACGCAAAGTCACCATAAATCAGTGGTTAGAGCATGTTTTCAAATTCAGTCTCTGATAAGGTAGTCCTTAACTTAACAACCTTCTGTATAGTGACCAAAACAAAAATGGCACTAAAAAAGTGACTTACGATTGTTTTTCACACTTATGACTTATGACCATCACACATCCTCATGTGATCAACACCTGTACATTTGGCAACCCGCATATATTTTTGATGGTTGCAGCATCCCAGGGTCATGTAATCAATATTTGTGACCTTCCCAGCCAACTTCTGAAAAGCAAAGTCAATGGGGGAAATCAGATTTGCATAATTCACTTAACAATCGTTGTTATTTGTTTAACAATTGTGGCAAAAAAGGTCATAAAATCAATTAACTCATACAACAATCGCCTTGCTTAGCAAAAGAAATTCTGGCCCCAGTTGTGGTCATAAGTCGAGTACTAGCTGTATCATCAGTTAGGAAGTTGGTAGCAGATAATACTTTTATTTTAAGAGAGCCTGGATGTTTATCCTGTCTCTTGGCTGTCTTGTATCTGATCAAACAGGGTTGGAAACAACATACGCATTTTTCAAACTAGGGTGCTCCCTCCGTGACAATAGCTATCGGGGTGGGTGGGTGTTGGGTCTTTGCCTCTTCTGGCTCCTACAGGTAGCTGGACAGGTAGATATTTTCCTGGGTCTGAGGGATTCTTAATTGATTACTTGCAGAAGACTATCCTGCAGCCTTGAATGAGGTTGTGATACATCCCTTCCTTGAAAAATAGTTAAACAACTATTAACACCTAATCTCCCTTAGGGACGATTAGAGGGACACGGTGGCTCAGTGGCTAAGATGCTGAGTTTGTCGATCAGAAAGGTCAGCGGTTTGGCGGTTCGAATCCCTAGCGCCGCTTAATGGAGTGAGATCCCGTTACTTGTCCCAGCTTCTGCCAACCTAGCAGTTGTAAAAAAAATGCATGTAGAAAAATAGAGACCACTTTGGTTGGAAGGTAACAGAGTTCTGTGCGACTCTGGCGTTTAGTCATGCCAGCCACATGACCACGGGGATGTCTTCGAACAGCACTGGCTCTTTGGCTCTTTGAAACGGAGATGAGCACTGCCCCCTAGAGCCAGAAATGACCAGCACATATGTACGAGGGGAACCTTTAGATTTACTAATCTCCTGTGAAGTAATGTTTATTGAGATGGTGTTTCGAAACCAACTATAGGGAGGAGGTGAAGGCTTTGGGGGATTGGTACAATAAAAATAACCTAGTTTTGAATGTTAATAAAACAAAAGAGATCATTGTTGATTTTAGAAAGAGCTGGCATAGTGATACTCCCCTTTGTATCAAGGATGCAGTTATGGAGGTGATCAACAGTATTAAGTATCTGGGGGTGCAGACTTGGTCTCTTTATATGTTAGATTTAGTGAAGTGTGCAAATCAGCATTTGCATTTCCTGCTTCAGATGAGGAGAGCGCATCTTTCTTCTTCTATCCTGCCCACTTTTTATAGAAGCACAATTGGGAGCATTTTAACAAACTGCATCCCTGTTTGGTTTGGTGGCAGCAGTGCCTCCGATAGAAAATCCATACAGAGAGTGGTGAGGACAGCGGAGAAGATACAGAGGGTGGTGGGGACAGCGGAGCCTGCTTTCTGTCATTCAGGATGCTGCTTATAAGCGCTGTATGCTTAGAGCTCAAAGCTTTGTTAGAGACCCCACACACCCACTTCATGGTCTGTTCCTGTTGCTCCCCTCTGGGAGGAGGTTTTGAGGTATTTCTAACAGGATTACCAGATTCTGTAACAGTTTTGTACCATTTATCTTGTAAATCTTCAGGATTCTTTCTTTTCTTTTTTCTTTTTGCCTTGTATATGTTTACATTCGAGCTAGACTGTCATGTTTCTCTGTGTTATATATGTGCGGGGAAAAGGGGTATATGCATCATGATTATCCTTTGAGAGCTGAATTTTAATGTGTGCTGAATAGTGTACATTTAAATTGACAGTAAAGTTTTATTCTATTCTAACTATAGAGCACTCAAGATGAATTGATTATCCGTATTCGTATTATCCAAGACTCAGGACTAGCGATGGATATGAGATGATAAAGATGCTCTTATAGATGATCTTTGAGTTGACTTGGACACAGATAATAAGCGTATCCCAGTCTTCTTAGCCCTCTGATTGACTGCTGATACAATCAAGCTGTTAGAAGAATTTATTCTCTATAGTTTGTTCCTTGCTCAGGTCAGAAAGTCCGACTCAGACACCATAATTCAGAGTTCCAATGTTTCATGTCAAGACATATACAAGGCAAAAGCATCCAGAACTGACTGTGCCCGGCCCTTGCAAGAGACAAAAAGGCAGGTTTAAGTCAGGTGTAAACAACTAGTCTATGCATATGTAATTCTAGAATTTTCAAGTTTTGCTTTCCAAATTAGGAGTAGCCTATTTTCTTACTTTCTAATTGGCACTTATCTTATCTCTATTGCTATGAGCTTAATATTATCCTCTCATTCCTTTCTTATCTATGTTACGTGACACTCTGTGTATAATGGCCAAATACTAATTTCCCTCCTAAGTTGGCATTAATCTAGGTTTTTAATAACTGCTTTCTAACAAAACAGAGTACCCTATTGGATTGTTTACAGAGGTTGAAGATCGAACAGGATCTCTTGCAGTAGTTCTTTTACTTCCTTAACA